AATTGTTGCTGTCATATCTCTCTTCTTATAGTTGTAGACTATTTCTACCACAGCACCCCGCGGAAGGGCAGGGGGGGGGGGGAAATTTGGGGGGGGTTGAAGTCCACTCATCTTAAAGTGGCCAAGTTTGGACAACACTGGTCTACAATATTTGTTTAAAGATAAAGCACCATAAAAAGGAAAAAGCAGAAGCCCTGATGATTCTTACATGCAGTCAGATATTTAATAGCATCAGAGTGGGAAGGCAACAGATTTTTTGGATCACAGTCTTCTCACTGTGGTAAGATTTAGTAATTTACAGCAAATACTTCTAAATTTGCAAATAAAGTATTTGCAAATGATATGCAAAGATATAACCTCTATTGTGTTTCCTTTGAGTGATGCATATGTGGTCAATCTACAGTCATGGTGTACAGTGACTGATTTGTTCAAAAAATCTCCTTAAATACTGGGATTTCCAGCCATGTGTTGGAAAAGAAGCTTGACAGACAGACAGATTAAAAAAAAACAGGGTTTCTAATATGAAAAAGTATAAAAACTCTGAATAGATGCAAACCTAATTGGCTGTCTTTTAGTGGTATAGCCTGAAAAGATACTTTTAAGTTTCAGTTCTTCTGAGCTGACAATCTTGGAATAAACATTTGGTGAAATCATAATGTTCCTAAGGGAAAGAAGATGCAATTGATTGCTGGTGAGTAAACTCTCTAGATACTCACAGAGATCTTTTTATCTCCCTTTCTCTCTTTCTGTTCTTTGTTTCTACAGGTAACTGTATGCTGGATGGGAGAGATGCCTAAAAATTACAAGAAGTCATTCTCTCCCCAGGCTGAGCATGCTGGCATCCGGACTTACTTCTTCAGTGCTGAGAACAATGAGGAACAAGAATCCTGGATTCAAGCCATGGGCGAGGCTGCTCGGGTTCAAATCCCACCTACTCAAAGGTCAGATGTTCAAAAGACACGTGGATGTGGCCTAGAACTATGGACTGTTGCTTAGTCCCATGGGATGCTGGTTAATAAAGCGAATGCAGAACGTGTGACCACAACCTTGGAGGCAGAGCAATGTTTCTGTGTACCTCTCTATTATGGTGAAACCACTGGGCAATGGCAAAAGAGTGCAGCTACTGTTAGTTATGGCACTAGTAGTATTTTGGAAATCTGATTCTTTTCAGAAAGAATTAACAGGTATCACTTCTAAATCTTTCTAATGTTTCCTTTGAGATGTTTAAAAGAGAGACCAAGTAAAAACCCTAAAGATATTTAGATCATGGCCAAAAAGAATACAACAGGTTTGAAACTGCCTATGGATAGCATTCCAAAAACTATGAGACTGGTGAAATTACTTCCAGGTAATGTCATGAATCTGGATCTCCTACATGGTGGTTAGTGATTATTGTTGACATTTCACTCTGCTGAACACAGGCAGTATATAAAGGTGTGGCATCTATTGCCAAGTTCAGTTTCAGATCAGCTTGGAAGAAGCTAGCACCATGGCTAGTACAACATTAACATATATTCATTGTCTCATATGGCATTACCAGAAGTCATTTCACCATTCTATAGCTGTTAGATTCTTTCTTCAATGGAATGAGAAGAAATGTTTAGTCAACTTGAAAATAGTAGGTTCATGAGAAGGTATAATCAATAATAACTTAAACAGTCATATCAAACTGACAAGAGCCTGATCAGAACCTACAGAATTCATTCTTTAAGATGTTTCAATCCTAAGCTATGATAATTAATAACCTTTTCAATTTGCACATTCTTCTCAGGCATGAAAAGACTGATTGTGAGAACATTCCTCCCAGCAAAAATCAGCAGCATCACCACCAGCGCAGTATTCCCACCAGGGAGCTTGCCAAAGCTGAGCTGGAAGCAAAGACCAGAGGAGAAGGTGATGGACGTGGTTCTGAGAAGATTGAAAGAAAACCAGAGCGTGTTGCAAACAAGAAGGAGACACTGGTGAAAGCCAATGGCGTTGCCAGTCAAGATACACCCTCTGAGCCTGGAAGCCCTTATCCAGAAGCAGCTCATGTGCCAGCTGGAGTGGAGAGAACCACACAGCCAAATGGTTGGCAATATTCATCTCCAACTCGGCCTGGCAGTATGGCCTTTCCACAGCATGATGGGGAGACTGTTATCTCTCGTCGGAGCTTTGCACCTCGCACGAATCCTGAAAAGATTGCTCAGAGAAAAAGTTCCATGACCCAGTTACAGCAGTGGGTGAATTTGCGCCGTGGGGCTCCACCACCTGAGGATCTCCATAGGTGAGAAGTTTGAACACTCAAGATACAAATAACATAGATCAGTTTTTTAAAAGAACTTTTAAAAAACACCTCATTAAACACTCAAAAAAGAGTGTATTCTGTAGGTTTATATCATTACCCAAGGTCCTGAAAGTTTTTAACATCTTATAAAGATACATGCCCTCCCTCCCCACTCCCCCCAAAATTGTCCATGACTTTTATACATGAGGCCATAACAATTTCATTTTTTTTCTGACAAAAAAACTCAGCATCTTCTCTGTGTGCCTTGGAATACGTTTATTTAAAAAGTTCACAATTGGTTTATATTTAGTGTTCTTGCACTCAGAAGAGCAGGAAAGGTCTTTGGTATGCAAGTCAGTATCTTCAATTTGTTTCTCCAGTGTTCCTGATCATGGGGTGAAAGCTCTTTACACTTATAGTTGTACATGTGTAGGCATTATTTTATTCTTGTTTGTATTTTTTGAAATTTGTGTTTATCAGCTGCTCCTCTTTGAAAGCTTTCAGAGTAACACATAGTAATAAACACAGTCCAACAATATAAACACATAATAAAAAAAATTAAATACTGTACCAGCAAAAAAAGCATTACAAAAAGAGGAGAACCTAAAAGCTCTGGATAATTAAAAGATTTTTATATGGCATCCAAAATGAAGAAAATGCTAGATTAACTAGGCTATAAACATTTCTTCACTTATCGGATGTGTAGAAATAGATGAATATCTTACCACTGTTAAGTTTATTTTTTGACATATGGACAAGAACTTCGCCAGTTTGGGGCAACCCAGTGATCTAAATCTAGAAGTAGAAGCCACAGTTTTAGCACAAGTACCATCACAGCTTTTATCAGAACTGAACCATACAAAGTTCAACTTTTATAGTATATTTCTCAAAAAACTGACACGTCTGTACACTTTGCTAATCAAAGAGGTAGCTCACAAGCAGGAAAGGAAGCATGGAGTGGCTTGCAACCTTAATTACAAAGAATAAAGAATTAAGAAACACAAGCAAACAATATAATGAAACAGCACCACTGTCATATTGGAGACAAGAATGCATCATTAGGGTTTAAAACAAAACTGTAAATCTTATAGCTTCTCCCAATTTTACACACAGAGATATTCGTAAAACATATCAACACTGTTCAGCAGATGTGGTGGGCTGAAATAAACATGCTAAGCAGAAAATCCTAAAACCTTAGAGAAAATCCAGGATTTATGTTTTCCTTTCTTGTTTCTTTTGGGACTTGTAGCCCCAGCAGGTTCTTCCCAATGTCTCGGAGAGTCCCTGATTACTACCCGCCCTATTCATCCCAATATTCTGAGGATTATCAGTACTATCCTCCTGGTGTGCGTCCTGACAGTATCTGCTCTATGCCTGCCTATGAACGTGTGAGCCCTCAGTGGACTGTGGATGACAAGCGCCACGCCTTCCGCAACAGCAGCACGTTCCAGCTGCGGGAGTGGAAAGAACAGCCTGGCTATAGCAGACAAGATGTGCCCATCTGGATCCCAGGCCCCACACGGCAGCCAGTGTACTATGACGAAATGGACGCTGCCTCAGGTTCCCTGCGCAGGATGTCCCTTCAGCCTCGTTCGCGATCAGTCCCCCGCTCACCAAGTCAAGGATCCTACAATAGGGCCAGAGTATACTCTCCAGTAAGGTCACCCAGTGCCCGTTTTGAAAGAATGCCTTCTCGGAGTGAGGAGATATATGCTGAGCCAACGACTTACATGATGAGACGATCCGTCAGTTCCCCAAAGGTAATCTTCCTTTGAGGCTCCCTTTCTCTGAGTAGCTCTGGGCACCTTTCAGTAGATAGCCAACAAAGTGTGTGTGTGTGGGGGGTGTTAATAAATGACTTTAATAATTAACCCTTTCTCTATATATTATTTATTGTTTGTGCTACATAGCAGAGACTGAAACCTCTCACTACAGGGGAGGGAAGATGTTTTTGATCATGATCGAGATTTATTGATCAGTTAGGTCAGGAGAGGCCATTGATTAAGAATTGGAGCAGTGGCAGGAAATGAGCAATGTGTCATTTCTAAACAAGAGTTGGAAAAGCTGGCCCTTAAACAAATCATTCTCTGTTACAGACTGATTCCTCCTCAATCTCAGATATGTTAGGGGTTGTTCTAGACAGCCAGAAGGAGGAGTATTTCAGCCTGCAAATGCTTTAGCACCATCTGTTCTTAATTTTACATAACTCAGAACTAAATACAAGGGACCTAGGCAAGGCCTAATTCAAGTTAAATATAAGATATTCAACTCCAGCAGCTGAAATGTGGTGCCAAAGTAGCAAGTTAAGGCTGAAGGAAAGTGGCTGTATTGATAGGGTAGAAGATTAGACAAGTTTCTGATCTGAGACCTGAAATGCTCATCTTTGTGGCTACACCCTATGGTTTGGTGAGTGAGATTTGCAGAACAAATTAAAGGGTATCAATGGAATGGAGGAGGGAATCACCCTAGGAACCAAGTAGCATTACAGATTTCAAAGTAGTTCTACTTGTAAAACCAACCTCCTTATCTTGTGTTCACACCTCAGCTTCAAGGAGTTTCTATAGCTGATTGATTCATCACCACTTTAATTGATGGCCTTTGACCATTTTTCTTTCTATTGATCATTGTTATTGCTAAATTATTACCATAAGGAAAGTATGAAGTAATAATACTGTGATATAACTATCTCACACAAATTCCTTTTCTTTGCCCAGTATGATTACCTTGGTGACAGAAAGCCTGTTCCTGCAGGGATGTTTCCCTTCAACTATCCAGCATCCCCTACAGTCCATGATAAAATGGTAAGCCACAGTATTATCCCACTCTTTCACTAGTAAAGTTGTTTTTCCTTCCCAAAGCTATCATTTAATTCAGAACTGGAAGATTTGTCTTAGCAGCAAAGTTCACTAGTGTTGGTTGTGAGACCAGCCTGGATGCACCATGCCTATGTGGACAGGTAGGAAACATTAATCATTAGCTTAACTGCCGATGATTGGTTGACCATAGTTTGTTTGCTTTTTGCAGGAGCAAGGAAGGAATTAAGCATGTGATTTTTGGAAAAGAAAGAAAAAAATTCCATGAATACACTCAGCCCTCATTTATTCTTTCAGTTGAAATCAGTGCCTCATTAACATTAGCACCCAGGAACAGTTGCATGCAGAGATAGAATGCAAAGTCCAATATGTGTAGAGAGAGCGAAGATGACCTTGATGGAGATATCCAAGCTCTGTTGTCAAAGTGACAAGGGGTAGAACATTGTCTAAGTCCAGAATGTCCAGATAACATTTGGAAATGGCACAGACACCTCCCTGATTCACTGAAGTCTAAGAAGGAGGAGGAAGTACAACATCTTGCATATCTCTGTCAAGGTTATCTTCATTACTTTAGGAAGGAATGGGCCACCTGTTTGACAACTTGATTACAGAGATGTACCATTTATTGCTTCTCCCTCAAAATGGTGGAAAACTTACAATCGAGTCACAGGTCCCATAACAGACTATCTGCTTGTTGGAGATAAAAGCTGCACCATAGCTCTTTCATTATATGAGCTGTTTATTGTTGCTGCTGGCTTAAGCCAAGCATTTACCTTGTCCTCAGGGTTGGTCCAGTCCTGTGGGTTGATCTCTAGATAGGATTCCCTGTGACAACCAATACCTTCCTAGTGGCTGAACTTCCATAGAAAAGAATTTGTCAGGAAGCTGGCAGATTTACTTCTGGGGTACCATTCTGGAATCAAGGAGGTATCCCAAAAAAATTGGGAATGCAAAAACTGAGGAGTGCTAGTCCTTTTTAATTCTCTATTGTCATTCTCTGTATCACAAAAATAATCAGAGAGTCTAAATTGAGGTGGGAAAATGCGTGACAAAACCTCTGTTCCCTGATATTGGTTATTTCTTTTATATATATATATGCTGTTTTTCCTTGGTCATTCTAATTCTCTCTTTGTTTGGTTATTCCACTGCGGGGGAGGATCCATGTGGTGGGGGCAGCAAACACTGTGAGTGGGACTCTGCCAAATGAAAATGCCAACTTCATTGCTCCATGCCACGTTTTTTGACCCTGCCTGACACCTGAAAGCAACCAGTAAATCCTGGACTGGATTTAAGGTGCCCTGTGGAACAGACTCTAGTTGCACGCTTGTTGCACGCAGCTTCTTCCCTCACTTCCCCTGCTTTCTCACCAGCTATGCACAAAAGCAGATGCATGTGGCTGAACTAAAAATGCAGTGAGATGAGCTTGATATCATTAAGCAGGTCAGGAACATTCTTTTTGATAACAGATGCTCTGTTTCCAACCTCAACCTTTTTTTCCCTGACAAGGGCCATATTCTTTGACTGTCTCTGAAGCTGCATGACAGCAGTGGCTTGTACTGAAGCATGTTGTGGTGGGGCTACACGCTCTTTTTTCTTTCCTGTTGCCCAGTAAATCCGGGCATGATGGATCAGTTCAGAGTTCAGCATATGTAAACACCATTGTACATGCTGAGCAGAAATAGAGGAAAGAGACATTTCAATACAGCCCTTTGCTTTCAAAGCATAGTATCTTACAGGGGAAAATGTTGAATGCTACCTGCAGAGACATTGATCTTGGCAGCAAATGTAGTCTCAGCAGCAAGAGTAGACATACCATTCTTGAGGTCCCGATTTCAATTAACAATACTACATGTGGACTCAGATAACTATGTATTAAGGGTAGAGGAGTAAACACTTACAGTATATGTGCCCATAGATATAACTTAATAGCCTGCCAACCTCAGGCCATATTAAAGAAGATACAGTGATCTGGACAAGAGGAATATGGCCACTCTGTTAATGCTCAGCCATACAACAAGACACAAGCAAGTTTTGGGGACAGAGCACTGATGATAGGAAGAGTTACCAGGATCTCTGAGAGTCCTTCAAATGAATGTTATATATTTCCTGATCTGAAAAGATTGCTAAGCAGCTATTATCCACTTATCTTTTCTCTTTAAAAGTGCTTGGAAGTCTGTGAATGTTCCCTTTGCTATATGGGGGAAGCTCTTTGCCTGTCTCTAGTTAAGTTGCACCTAACTGCTTTTGCTTCTTCTTTGTGTTCGTTGTTTTTGTATGTTTGTGTTTCCATTTTGCCGCATGCCTAATGGCTCCTGATAGGATGAACTTTTAGACCTTCAGTTGCAAAGAAACCTAGAGTATTTGGACCAACAGGTAGGCCAAGCTGGCTGTGTTCCCCCTCTCCCCACTCCACTGCTCCCAACACGTCCTGCCTCCTGCCCTGACACACCCACCTCCCTCCAGTTCTGTTGTCAGGCCTGTGTCATCATCCCTTTTCTGTACCTCATTCCCTCTCCCTAACATTTCTTGACACTGTGCTAGCTCTAGTGGTTCTCAGTTCATGTCAACCTTCCTTCTGTTGAGGGTAATGCTTCATTTTGGGGGGCTAGAAAAGAAATACATTGCTTGTCTAGAGATCTGGACATCCCATATGATAGAAGACATGTTTCCTTAATGCACTCCTGCTCACAGAATGTTTACATAATATTCCAACTGGATCTTCTAGCAGAATTCTGCTGAAACACTCACATGGGTGGAGGAATGGGGGTGTTCTTGGTACATACTTAGTTGGGAGGTAGCCAAGGAGTGTACATGAGTGTTGTGCCTTCCATTACATAATCATGTCTCCAAGGGGAGACATTATGAAGAAAGGCCTCTCACTTTTTTAATATCACTGCTAAGGGGATATCTTGTTCTTGAGAAGTTGTTGGAGAATTTATTTTTCCCCTGGATAATTTTTTTAAAATCAGCCCCTCAGTTTCTCTGCCCATAAATTTGGTAGAGAAACCTAAAGAAACAACTGGAGGACTCTGAATAGCACCTCTGTTCCCATTATGACACTGTGGGTTAAAAGACTTTAAAACTAGGCTATCATGAATAAGAAGCATAGAAAATTATTTCCAGCTGAATCTTTGAGCAGCCAGAGATCTCTTCTAATTTTATAATGATTGCAGTTTTGGATACCTGCTGGTGCTTGAGGATAATAAGAGGCTGCAGAATCCTCTTCTGCAGCTTTGTAAAAATAAGAGGACCTCTGGAATATCCAGATGGGGTTAGAACATTGGATTAAACCTAGGGAGATTCGAATTTTCAACTGCCTTCTTTCAACCTAACCTATCTAACAAGGTTGTTATTATTACCATAAACATGTAATAAGAGAAAAAAACTGGGTACATCTCCACCAACACCATGAAAATAAGATGCAGAAATTTGTTTTCCTTTACTTCAAAGCAACTGCAAGGGATGTGTGCTAATTTGACAGAAGTGCTGAAAAAAACAGGAGTCCAATCGTTCCTCAATCCCATTTTCTGGATTAACTTTGCACAAAAAAAGAAAGAAGATGTCAAGAAGGATGAGCTTCAATTGCCCCATCCCCCAAACTGTCCCAGTAATGTAATTAGTACTCTGTGGTGTTTGCTGGAAGGAAGGAAGGAAGGAAGGAAGGAAGGAAGGAAGGAAGGAAGGAAGGAAGGAAGGAAGGAAGGAAGGAAGGAAGATTGGAGATCTAATCTTGATTCTCTAATGTTGTTCTAAGAAATTGGGTGAGGGGGATTCATTCTTTCACATTTAAATGCAAATTTACTAATATGCACTACCCAAACCTATATGTGAAGCACAATATGCTAATATGAACATTTTTCTGAAATTTTTGAGGTAAGTTGCATTTATTAAGGTAAGGCAAGAATGAAAATACATTATATAATTGTAAATCACTTTTACAAAATTAGGAAAATAATATTTTTTATTAACAATGAATGTAGAAATGCATACAGCAGAGAAAAACATGCAGAAAACCACAAGCCAGCAGGTGAAAAAACGTACAGAAATCTATATATTTAAAAAATGTACACCCATTTCTGTGATTTTCCCTTTTTAAAATTGCAATTTAAATCCAGGAACAGCACATAATAAAGTTAAGAATGAAAATGAATATTATAAACTAAGTGAAACTGAGTTTTACAAAATCACTTATCCTTAGTAATGCCTACCTAGTTCCTTAGAGAAAATTCTGAATCTATATTATTTTTATTCCTTCATCTTTCTATCTCCTTTTTGTCATTTATCAGACCCTGGGTTTTCCACCTGTTTCTACACTGTCATGCATAACAATTTCTTCATTGCCAATCACCTTACTTATTGGCAAGAAATGCCAATCCTGAACCATTGTATTTCATCTTCCTCAATCAGAATTACTTGAAGAGAGCTCCAAGTAGATTGAATGAACTAAGCTATATCAGAATCACTATGCAATGCCACAGATAGACCCACCAGAGTTAGCTGCTATATTTGTCTGATTCAGCAAGGACTAAGCAAATTTATTTTTCCAGTTTGAGCTAAAGAACCAAACATTTGCTGAGTATGAAATATACCTCATGGCATCCCTAATAGGCCATAAACATTAGGGATCAGTACTAAGAGATTTATTAGGACATACGTTTTTGTAAAGTGGACTGGAATACCATGTCACATTTGTTAGCCTTGAGGTCCCTCAAGATTCTTTGCAGTTTAAATGTAAGCAGCATGAATTGTTCAAATACTGCATGCTGAAAAATTGAGGCCAATAGAATAAAATATATATGATTATATGTCTGTACCCATGTGGATTGTGCTAACCAGAAAAAATACGGTAAACATATGAGAAAAGGCAGGTGAATTCAGATATGGCCACCACATAAAACTCAGTTTTACCATAACTTCATGGAAGGACATCTGCCCACCAGGAAAATGAGACATTTAACTTTGGTAATTAATACATTAAACAAATAACCTAAACAACCTTCCCCACAACTTTTAAATTTGAGATTCAGTGATATACTTTGCATATTACATTGCAAGACAGTTGCTGACCAGTCCTCTCAGAAAAACCAGACAAAATCAAAGCCTTTTGAGAAAATGTTGGCAGAGGAAGTTCAGCTGGAAATAAAAATGTTGAGGGATGACTGATACTGGCCTGAAAAATGCCTCATGAATAAGTGCCAGTTCCAAAGCCAATCTCTCTGTGGCTTCAGCGTCAAAGTCCCCCACTGTACAATAATCAGGAAGATATATATGTCTTGGTTGGACTGAAGCTAAGCGACTATGTTACCATTCATGGTAGTGGGCTTCAGTCCCTCTCTTTTTTTCTTTTTTTCTTAAAAAAAAACAAAACACCTTGGCAGCTTTCCATCTTGTTCCCCTTTGGATCATGGGAGAAAGATGGTAGCTCACCTGTAGTGTTCTGGACCCAATTTCTTTGTTACAGCCTGGTGATTTGTGTTTCTAAGTGCAGTTGATTCAGAACCTCCGTGTATGTTCCATGTGTGCTGTATGAATATAGATGTAACACTATCTGCTTTTCTTGAATAATGAAGATTTATGTCAGCCAAATATCTTCTTACCTACCCTTGAGGCTTTGTTTCAACAATTATTGCTTTATTATATATGATTTGTTCCATAAAATCCTATATTTAGAAGGAATTAAAAGATGAGAGAGATGCAGCCCTACATAAGTACCCCTCCTTCCTCCAGGATCAGTCTAAATAACCCATGCTACCATATGCAGTAGGAAGTATACAATAGAAAGCTTTCTAATTGAAGCAAATATCTGTAGCTCAGGGTTGAACTGTGGAGTTCTTCGTGTTCTCTGAGCTTGGTTGTTTGCTTCAGACATTTCATTACCCAACTAGGCAACATCATCAGTGTGAGACTTTCTGCCACCCAATACTCCAGATTTAGCTCATCTGATCTGTTGAAACATTCACTTCTGAGTCACAATACAGTGATTAGTCACGCCATATCCCTGAATAAAAGTCTATCAATCCATTTAAAGCTGATTTGCACATCCTATTGAGGAAGCATGTGAGCTGCTCTCCATTTTAGGGCGGGCCAGGTTTTTCCCAATGGAAAACAGAACAGGCGAAGGGAACTGGAGGTATACTGTGGTTCATAAGATTGGTGGGGAGAGAGCTAGTCATGATTAGCAGCAGCCTTTCTTTGCTTTTTTCAGAACAGAAGCAATTTACTTGCTATAGCCACACCTATTTGCTTTGTTTGCTAAACAAGTAAAATACTGCTCCCAAAGTAAAATACTAAAGACTGGACATGGGAATTGCATACATACCATTTCAAAGGAAAGGGGGCTGTTGAAATCTTCCTTTCTTGCACTACTTCCGCAATATGATCTTTCCCCACCAAGCTCCTATTTGACCCACAGAGGAAACAGATTGCTCTACAGTCTCCAAAGGGCCTGTGATTGAAACAATTCCATTGGAGAAAGAATTGTTTGTAACTCTCCTCCTTTCTTCATTTTCTGATCAAATTGGTAAATGCCTGTTTTGAAGGGGCCAAAAGAAAAAAAAAATGCAGAAGATCCAAACATGGATCAACTGTGTTGGTACTCCAAATAAAGGAGGTGGGAGGAGGGGGAAGGGGACAACATAGCTTCCCCCCACCCCAGAAAGATAATCTGATGTGATCCCCCAATATAATATCCTTCTTTTTAAGCCATAGGATGGTGTCCTGGCCCAGTTGCCTGTGCAACTGACTTGTATGGAAATGGAGAGGCTCTGGGAAACATCAAGAAAGGTTAACCTGTCAGTGAAATCTAGTGCTTCTACAGTATCAGGACTCAGCTGGAAGGCGGCACAATTAAGCTCTTCGTCTCCAACCAGGCTTCCCTTCTCTGTGGCTGCTATTTATATAACTCAATAAACATGTACATGTAAATTGCAGCCAAGAACTAATAGGAGTCTGGGGATTGCCTGCAATCTGCCTTGATGAGGTGCTTTCTCTCATAGAGGACTATCATTCTGCCTTGACATGATGAGCTGCCCAGTCAGGGCAGAGTGGTCCCACCTTAATTCACCTCAACAAAGAATTAAGGTGGGACCACTCTGCCCTGACTGGCCAGCTCATCATGTCAAGGCAGAATGATAGTCCTCTATGAGAGAAAGCACCTCATCAAGGCAGATTGCAGGCAATCCCCAGACTCCTATTAGTTCTTGGCTGCAATTTACATGTACATGTTTATTGAGTTATATAA